TCAGCTCGATTATCAGCAGTATCGTAGTAAGTAGGAACAGTTATAGTTCCGCGATCATTGATTGGGCAGTTGTTTCAAATATCAAATTTTTCTAGATAATGTTAAATTCTTTAATAATGTTACGAATGGTGAACCATGCATTAGGGCGTTTGCATTCGAGACGTCTTTCTATGGTTTGGACAGTTGGGACAAACGACAAGGTAAAAGATTTTCTTCATCTTTTATTAACACAAGATTAGGTTTGGAATGCGCCACGCTCGCATATTTGTTTCAATATCACAGTGGTTGCTCATTGAGCCCACGTTCTGGACAGATTTGAGCTCTGTCGCGATTATGCGTAGAATCTGAATGGAAAATGAGAAGGCAGTGCCATGTGGGGCAGGCGAATGCCCTATGGGGTTCAATACCAAGGCTTTTATTTTTCTTTTTTTCAGCTGAACTCTTCAGATGGAGAGCTATATTGGACGAGTATCCCGAATTCGACATGTTCCTTGCAAATATTTTCAGGTAATAGTTCCTTTCTTGTTTGGGTCCCTTTATCTGCGCTCGGTCCATAAGCTCCAAATAGAAAAACTTATTTGCGCGAGGAATCGACGCCATGTACACTTCTTATCCCTGGGACGCAATGGGCGTGGCTGGTCATTCGTGAAATATTTCAATTTGAAACAACTGCATCTCTCCTCTATCTTCGACAGACATGAGTACAATTGTTCAAAAATGAAAGTACATATCTCACCAAAGCTGCTGCTCACGCTCACAATCAGATGGAGTGCGGAGCCACCCCCACTGAGCCCCACCGAACATCAGGGATATGTAGTATATTAGGTTGTCCGGAAAGTTCTCAACGTTCTGTGTTACTATTTTTTGTACATTCGTTACTCATTAAAAACTCTTTCTTTCTTGCTTCTCATAGTACATCTTGAAGAGAATTTTTTGCGCCTCGATGAACCCCTTTCCCCAAGACTTTTTGAAGCATGTCAAAAGAGCAACTTCGGACGATATTTTTCTTCAACTAAAAATTGGGTCAATCCGCAGTCGAGACAGCTCGAAAAAATTAACCAGGTGGGGGGAGGCCAATAGTGCTGGAAAAAGCACCGTGCGACAATGGTTCGGCTAATTTTCTTCTGGAGATTTCAGCCTTGAAGATGAACCTCGTAGCGCCGCGATCTAAAGCCAATTTAACCTGACGCAGGCCTCGAAGACGTTCGTGGAGGGACTGACCCATCCAAACAGTTCCGAGAAGATTTGCCAGAAAAGCGTAGGCTTGGCAAATCTTACTAATGCGCGATGCGTCTGAAACGCATTGGCGAAGGTGAAAGAAACTCGACAAGTGCGGGGATGCCCACAATTGAGTGAACGCGGACAGGAAATCGGCATGTCTCGAGGTTTCTCTTCACTGCTTTTGCGCAAAGAACGACCCGTTTTTGGACCGAATTGTCAGTGGTAAAAAGTGGATTATGTATTATAACAGAAGACGTTCCGGACAGTGCTGGGATGCGCACAGAAGCGTTCTCCCCTCAAGGCACAACCTCAGGGCAGACGACCAGATTCAGCACATGGCCTTGTCTCAGGACAGAAGAGCTCTCTCAGCTGTCTGTGGGCCATCTTACCTGCAGTAGACTCAAATTGATAGCCTGTTTCCTTAGGTACTAACTATTTAACAGACGAACAGCATGACTTTTTGCGCGTCACATCATTAAACTTGTAAATCTTTGTAACAAAATTTACCGAGTAGTTATCATGAAGTGCAAAAAATTTCAGTCCTTTCCTGATTGACCAACGGCACACGATCGCGCCGTCTTCGATGCAAACGATTGGCGCTGCTCTTGCTATGATGGCACTCATTTCCTTTTTCTTCCTGCCGGACGCGGTGAGTACCTTTCTAGTCATATTCCTCGAATACTCTCCCTTTACTGGTAACCAGTCTACAACTAATTCGGAAAACTTTATTTCAGCAATCCGTTTTCCTCATGACATGGTCGCTACTATCCATTTCAATGGGTGTATGTGGAGGATTAGCCATGCTCGGATCCGATCTTGATTCCGTCAGGTACGAAACCGCTCAGAAAGACCCCTTTCGAACTTAATGACTCATTTTTAGTATGGGATGCATTGTAATGGCTATTGGACTGGCTGTGGATTATTCTGTACATATTTGCTATCGCTATCATCGCTCTGAATATACAAGATCATCAGAAAAAGTAGGGATTTCGATATGGCTTATTCTGCTCTTTGATTCCTGCGCCTTCTACTGTTCCTACTACACATCCCATGTTTTTCCTTCTCGTCTCGGTAATGTATATTTCATATCTGAAGACTGCGGAAGGCGTGGCTGCGAGAGCGGTGAAGGTCTAGTCAAAGCGGCAGTACAGTCATGATCCGCGATAGAGCCTGTGCCGGGGGCTGACTTGGAACACAGCCAGGGCATCTCACCAGTTGTAGCGGGCTCAGCATGACGTCACTGTTGGAACAAGGGCGCCCTGACTGCTCTCCAAACCGCGCCGCGTCCCACGCCCTATCGATTCATCACGATATGTGTAAGAGAAGAGAGTCATGTAGTACGCATCCAGCATAGTATCACTTCACTATTGTCATTTATCTAGTATTAATATTCCCATTTTTTTCTATAGTTCAACATTGGTTCCTTCTCAATATATCACTTTCAGGTTCGCGACACCTTGTGCTCAGTAGGATGGCCGATCACGCAAGCTGTGTCATCAACTTTGTTTGGTCTCTCCACGACAGCATTCGTTCCAGCTTATCTTGTCAGAGTGTTCTTCCAGACCGTATATCTTGTCAATTTCATAGGTGAGAGTTTATTTTATGAGTAGAGCCTCATAATTAGTCATTACTAATCGAGCGATTCAGCGATGTGTCACCGCTCCATCGCTATTCCCTCAGTCGCTGCCAAATGCAGAGAAAATTCTGTGCTGAATGTGAATGAATTGGCCTTTGTAGTGGTCCAATGATTGGCGCTGGAGCACGGCCGGTCGCAAGCGCAACTCGGAAAAAATCGAAAAGCCGAGTCGTTCTTGTCGCGAATTATGAACGCGACACAAATTTTAATTTTCATTTTTACTTTTTCAAGAAGGCCAGTCGCGGTCGCGTTCTTAACTCAGCCCGCTGCTACGATGACAAGTTTTGGTGGGGGGGGGGGTATCATAATGGCCAATACGATCCTTCTTCCCATGCGAAAAGGCCGCTTGTTGCTCTCAGTTTTCCGGAAACCTTGCAAGGCGAGGGGGGGG